AATGAGTTTTATATTACACCCCCCATATAAATAATGTCTTAGCTCGTTTTTATTAAAATAAAAAAATTACAATTGATTGAAACGCATGATATTATAAAAATTCTAACATATTCTTCTCCCTAATTTTATAACACGTTGTCAATATCATTGTCTTTACAATAACTAACCAAGAAAGGCTGAGTTCAAACTAACAAATTAGTTAGTTATTATATTTTCCTTTAAAAAAATTTAATTTTTTCAAAATGATTCATTAACAAATTCAAAAAGATTAATGTGAAAACTTAACAAACTCAGATAATTATTATGTTATGGGTTCAGTTATTTTTACTGTTTGAGGTTCAGGTGGCACCAAAATTATTGTTGTTAAAATCTCGATTTATCATTACAATTTTATGTTTTTATGATTTTTTTACATTATGATTTTACGTTTTACGATTTTTTAATCCCTTTCTGATTTTATTTAAGATCTCAATTTTAACAAAAAAACGTATGAAATTCACGCCTTACCGTCTGCCATAGTACCGCTAGATCACGCCCTTTCCAAAATCGTCAAGACGGTAGTTTTCTTTTTTTCCAACCAAAAATATTAATTACATAAATTTTTTACGAGAAAATTGTTTGCCATTTAAAAATTATACAAGTTTGTGTCATTTTAATTATAGCATTTTTTATATTTTGAGGGGAAAATATTTCTCCTTGCAACAGTAAATGAAATCATCTACAGCAACTCCAAAATTATATCATATCAGAGGTTAAGAGAACTAATAAAGGATATTTAAAAAAATTATTACAAAATCTTTCATTAATTCCTTAAATCTAAAAACGACGTAGTTTTGAGATTATTGAAGATAACTTTATCTTTTATTGCATGAAAAATGATAAACCCCATTTTTTTACTTTCTCTCCTCCATAATATGCTCTTACTTTCTCTTTCCTCCTAATTACGTGGAGGAGAAAGAATATTAAAAATCACTAAATATGCATCAAAAATCCAAAATATTATAGTTTCACTTAAAATAATATAAATTTATGTCCTTTAAAATGATAAATATTTACTTAAAAAAAGACAGATTTTTTTTTCTTTTTTATTATTAAAAAGGAAAATAAATAATAAATTAACTTATTGAAGTGTATTTACTCTCTTGATATTTTTTTGTTCAATACATGTGAGAATTGAATACATAATCTAATACAATCTACTTAAACCACTTAACACTATACCAATTCCAATGACGTACTCCCTTAATAATCATTTTAGACTTCTATATAATAATATAAATGAAAATGAAATTATGAGTGGGTTTAGTATTGTAATGATATTCTCATGTTTTTCTTTCTATGTTTCTCTCACTTCAATTTATAATATGTTATCAATACGGTTTGTCTCTACATTAACTAACTACGAAAGACTGCATTCCTATAATAATCAAAATATGTATGTAAATGATCTCTTATATGTCTCAGTGGATGATATTTTTGATTTCTCATAAATTTTGATATACCTTGTAACTACCATTTTGAAATATTATTTTTTTATTCATATTTAGAGTCTTATATAACATGACTTATGTTGAAAATTAGTTGATCAATGAATTGAGAATTCGATTGTATTCACATGATTTTTAAAAATACATACTTCGTTTTTCTCATATTTTCTATCGTTATTTCCTTTTTCCTATTTGTATAATTTCTTTTTATAACAACTAGAAGTATATATCAAAACATTATTATAAAATTAATTATAAATTTTAGGGAAAAGTTCACCAATGCTCTTGTAATTTTTTTTTTTCATATGTCTCTGTAATTTGCAAAAAGGTATATTTTTTATCATATATGTCTCTGTGATTTTTTACTTTTTATAAACTACAAGTACATATGTGATAAACAAAAAATCAAAAGAGCGATTCTGAAGCAAATTACAAGGGCATTGGTTGGTGAATTTTTTCCTAAATTCTATTAATATATCATCATACTAATCTTATAAATTATGAAACATAAATTTATTTTTTAGGAATATTTAATGAATTTTTTGTTATTAATATATTAATTGCATTCACTTTGTTATTCAATTTGTTAATAAATAGTACTAGGGGGTGTTCATCAACCGATCCAAACCGATTCAAACCGCGGTAACCAAACTGAAAAATCGATAATCGAAAAAAAACCGTAAATTTTAATTGGATTTGACCGATTTTCGAATTGGTTAATGAAAACCGATCCAATCCAAACGGATCAAATATATTAATTTCTCTCTATCTACTTTGGTCTATCCCCCAATCATTGCCCAAAAATTTTTAAACCCAAGACTCATTAACCCATCACTAAACTCAAGAAAAAATTTAGTCACATCTCATCAACAAAATTTCATCTGCATAGAGCTTCATATCTCATTGCCCCCCAAATTATATTATCATTTATTGATGCTTTTGTATTTCAATTTTTTTTTTACAAAGTCAATATATATATAAAAGATGGATTGGATCAGATCGGATTTGAAAAAAATTACAAACCGAAAGGATTGGATCAGATCGGATTTGAAAAAAATTACAAACCGAAAGGATTAGATCAGATGATTTTTGCTTCCAAAATCGATCTAATTCAGACCGCGAACACCCCTAAATAGTATGAAGCTTATTTAAAAATATTTAATAGGATTCAACCAAATTATTAAATAAAAATAATTTTTCTAATATGTTAAAAATCTAATAAATCAATTAACTGCTATATTTTTCTTTAAAAATTTTATTTCAAATTATTGTTGATAACAAATTCCAAAAAGATTGATGCGAAATCATAACAAACAGGTTGCTGTTGGTTGTTGGCTGATTTACGTTGTTTGAGATTCAGGTTTGATTATACTCATATGACAATAGGTCAAGTACCTCTAGATCATGACCTTTTCAAATGAGCAGCATGCCAAAGTTGCAGTTTCCTTGTCATTTAAAATGGTATAAATTTTTAAAATGATAAATATATTTTACTTATTTTATTATTTAAAAGGAAAATAGAAAATAAATTACCTTGGTTGACTACCATTTTACACTTTCTTGTGAAAAATCATGTAATTAAAAGAAAATTAGTTGACAAAAGAGAACAAATACGTCATAAACAAATAAATTATACACTATTACAAAAAAAAAAAAAATTATACAAATTGGATGAGCAATATATTTAGAAATATTTTATTTTCAATGAGTAATTTTATTTATAATTTGATAATTAAACTATTTTTTTAGAAAATTTATTATGATTTTCTCGCAAAAATTAATGATAACAACGATCGATCCTTTAAGAAATGATAATAATTTATTGGTTGTTCTACAATTACTAAGGTTGTATCTCCTCATATGAGAAAAAAAACCAACAAAAATATTAACATAAATCAATGTCTAATAATTATTAAATTTTTTATCAGACACGTATGTAACGCAAAATAATGTATGTTAAATATGGATTGGTTAATTTGGTTCATCTTGGTCAATGGTAATTACTAGAATATTTGAATACTGAATATTTGACATAATTAGGTATTAATATTTCATAACGCATAACCCTGCACACATAATTAGGTATTAATATTACAATTAGCACCCCTAATTGTAATGATATTCTCATGTTTTTCTTTCTAAGTTTCTCTCACTTCCATTTATAATATGTTATCAATACGGTTTGTCTCTACATTAACTAACTACGAAAGACTGCGTTCCTATAATAATCAAAATATTTATGTAAATAATCTCTTATATGCCTCATCATGTGTGGATGATATTTTTGATTTCTCGTAAATTTTGATATACCTTGTAACTACCATTTTGAAATATTATTTTTTATTCATATTTAGAGTCTTATATAACATGACTTATGTTGAAAATTAGATGATCAATGAATTGAGAATTCGATTGTATTCACATGATTTTTAAAAATACATACTTAGTTTTTCTCATATTTTCTATCGTTATTTCCTTTTTCCTATTTGTATAATTTCTTTTTATAACAACTAGAAGTATATATCAAAACATTATTATAAAATTAATTGTAAATTTTAGAGAAAAGTTCACAATGCTCCTGTAATTTTTTCTATCATATATGTCTCTGTGGTTTGTAAAAAGATATGTTTTTTTTATCATATATGTTCATGTGATTTTTTACTTTTTACAAATTACAGACATATATATGATAAACAAAAAATCAAAAGAGCGATTCTGAAGCAAACTATAAGGACATTGGTGTGATTTTTTCCCTAAATTCTATTAATATATCATGATATTAATCTTATAAATTATGAAACATAAATTTTTTTTAGGAATATTTAATGAATTTTTTTGTTATTAATATATTAATTAATTGCATTCACCTTGTTATTAAATTTGTTATTAAATAGTATGAAGCTTATTTAAAAATATTTTAATAGGATTCAACCAAATTATTAAATAAAAATAATTTTTCTAATATGTTAAAAATCTAATAAATCAATTAACTGCTATATTTTTCTTTAAAAGATTTATTTCAAATTATTGTTGATAACAAATTCCAAAAAGATTGATGCACACATTGTAATTACTAGAATACTTGATAACAAATTTATTTCATCTTGGTCAATGGTAATTACTAGAATATTTGAATACTGAATATTTGACATAATTAGGTATTAATATTTCATAACGCATAACCCTGCACACATTGTAAACTTGAGCAGAAAATTTATATAATAATTAATCCGAAACTGATTCGAAATAAAAAATAATAAATAAGACCTACGGAATATTTTGAACCCATAAGATAGGAAATTCCAGAAAAAGATAGTAACAAACTAACAGTAACAACAAAGATTGAGTGAGTTGTTGTGGTGGTGGGGTCAGGCAGAGAAAATCTGCTTCTCCCGCCTCATCACTTCTTTGAGTCTGCAAAATAAAAATAAAAATAAAAAATAGAAAAACAGAAACCCCTCGTTTTCACTGAGATAGATAAATAGACAGAGAGACAAAGAGAGATAAAGAGAGGAAGAATGCAATGCTAATGTTTCCTCCGTCACGCCCTGTGAATTATGGACACACCAGAGAAGAACGACATCAACGTCCCTCTTCCCAAATTTGAGGTTGCGCTTCATCACTCACTTCACTCCTCTACAATTTTTATCGTTTTTTCCAATCCTATCCCTGATGACTTCGTTTCTAGCTTTCATTGCATGTGTTTCATCGGAACTTTTTCTTTTTTCTTTTTTTAAGATAAAAAGGTTTTTTTAACCCATGTTGAAGCGGTAGTAATGTTCTATTTCTCCCCATAGTTCAATTTACTTGTCTTGTTGATGATTTTTATTTTTATTTTTATTTTTTTCAAACTCTTGTTGGGTACTATGGTATTTTACTCATACCTTTGTTCCCATCAAACTTTTATGTATCTGCAATCAAATTGGGAAATTTCTTAAAGTTTTGCTTAATTTCTCTGTTGTTTGCTTCTGAGAGTAAATACGAGTGAGTCAAGTTAATTGTCTAAGCCCAGGTTCGACTCGTTCTGAAGTCTAAGTTAATTGTCTAAAATCCTATGCTTTCGGTTCAATGGTCATTTCTTCAGTAGGTTTTGTCCTTGAATAATTTAAGGCTTCCCATTAAAGCCATCTTGCATATGTAACCTTCATATTTATATGTTATTTTGTTGAAAGCAATCCTTGTGTGATATACGGTATGTTAAACCAATTATTTTGTAAACTACTTTCTGATTTGCCGTTGATTTTGCTTCGGGCCTTAGAAACGATTAATCTTCATGGTTTTCATGATGCAACATTAGATGAAAGCGTATGTGCATGGAATTTTCCTTTATTTCATCCAGTTTAATGGTATTTTTATGCTTGCTAGATGGAGGATTCACCTGTTTTTAACTATATCAATAGTCTATCTCCTATAAAGCCCGTTTACTCAGTTCGAATTAATCAGACATTCAATTCACTTAGCTTTTCATCCCCTCCATCGGTTTTCACAACACCTCATGACAACTGTCACAAGGAATCCAGATTCCTCCGGAGGTAATTATATATATATATATAAAAAAAATTTGTCTATTTTTGTTGATATTAGCGTGTTACATTTGTCTATATAGATGTTTTAGTGACATGTTTTTTATGGTTCTCTATTATTCATTTCCAGGCATAACCTTTTGAACACATCAAAGTCTAAGGTTTCATCTGAAGATGTAAATAAAGTTCGTGAAGAGGCTCTTACCGATGCAACTCATGCATGTCATGACTCAAGTGAGCTACAGGAAAATACTGATCCAAGGATTTCCATAGGGGATGCCTCAATAAAGCCATCTGGTGAACATACGAAGTTCTCAATGGAGCTTCAACAATCCTTCAAATATAATTCTGGTAGCCCGGGATATGATCCTCTTTATTGTGGTGATGAGGCTAACTCTATTTTGGAATTGCCTGGTGAACCAGCATCAGATGTTTCCTATGCTCACGAAGGATCTAAAAAAGATTTAGTGGAGGGTGCAATGCATCTTCAGGGTATACGCCATATTGAGACAGAAATTGAAGGCCCATATTGTGAATGGGGTAATTTAATTAGGAATGCCTATGATCTGTCAATGTTTAGTTCCCCAAACGTGACAGAAGCTCTTATGGATCTAATGAATAAACAATTGGATCCTCGGCTTAGCAATTTTGTGTCTCTGTTACCACAATCCACCACTGATAATGGTTCTGAAATGCACAATGTTAATCCAGTTGCTTCTGGTTCAGAACATGAAATCGAAGATCATCCTTCTGAACCAATAGCAACCACAAACTCAGGTCAGACACAGGACAATCTTGCCAATGCAGCTTTGAAGGCTAGCAATCCAAGTTTGAAAACGAATGATGAGGTAGGAAAATGAAGTCCGTTTGACTTGCGGTGAATTGTGTATCATTACGTTTCATGCATGTAGTTGGATGGATCCATGGGTTTATGTCAAAAGGCATGATTTCTAGATTACTGTTTACACATACTATCTTATGCCTAATTGTCTCTTCCACTTCTTTCTGTTTTGTTTATGTAATTATGTCCTATAGGATTGTTTAATTCATTCACAAGTTTCCTTATGCAGTTCAGTCATATATGCCTCCTTCTGCGCATTGTTATGTGTTACAATTATAATTCGATATAATTGTTGTTATTTATTTTGGTTTGTATTGAATTAGCATTTATAATTCAAGCAAAATACTGAATCACTTGGGTTTGTTGTTAATCATTACTTTGAAAGCACAATATACAAAAAACGAATATTATTCTAAAATTTTCTTCATTTGGCATTCCCTTACATATGTTGTAGTAAAGCAGAGTGTTACACAATTTTGTTGTATTCTTTTGTGGTTTATAAATTTTTGCAACTTGAATTTTTTTCTTCCTACTTGCTGTGACTACGTGTTCAACAAATCAATCATTCTAAAAGTACTTTTTTCTTTGTATTTAGCGTGTTTATGTGACACACCATGGTATAAGGAGGCGCTGTCTGGACTTTGGGCTGGCCAGTATGCAAATGAAGAACTCACGTGATAATTCAAACACCAGTTCCGGTACAGAAAATTCTGATGAGAGGAATGTTGGCAATGCAGAGCAACTGCTTCCTACAAAACACAGTGGTGATTCACGGAAATGTGTTTTACCAGGATTTGGTTTGCACTTGAATGCACTTGCAACCTCAAAAGATTACAAAAGCATACAAAATGAAAAGTTGTCTTCTGGAAGACAACCTAATCTTCCTAGCTCCACTTCTTCCTTGCAACTCTCAGCAAGCCAAGTACATCCTCTATCGTTGGTACCTGCATCAGGTGAAAGAGATCTGGAGCCATTAGAGAATGAGGTTCAGCCTGCTAAAGATTGTACCCAGACATCAGTTGATATAGCTGCTGAAGATTTCCATCAAAATACCCCCATAAAGAAAAGGAAAGTTCAGTTGCTGGTTATCCATTCTTCTGTTTGATAATCTGCATTCCATTATGTTTTTAATTTTTTGATTCTTCGTTAGCCTGATACCAAAGTTGAATTTGCAGGTACATGTTGGAACCAGCTGGGGAAGGGGAGTCTTGCAAGCGGTGTAGGTGTAAGAAATCTAAGTGTTTGAAACTGTAAGTTCAAAAACATGCTCCTATGTTTTTTTGGGTGGCAGCACTAAGATTATTCTACTATCATATGTTGTGATGAGCATTATATTGTTTTTTAACTAGCTGTTTGCCTATTTTTCATTGTGTTGTCTACTGGATTTATTTTGGAAAACAAGGACTTTACTGAGTCTACTGTTACCTATTCTGGTTTTTGAAAATGTAAATGTAGACTTTTACTGAGGCTTTGTTTGTTGAATCAATGAAATTGGCTACATATGGAGTCATTGCATTTGCACCTAGAAATGTAGTGTGCAGCTCTGCAATCCACTAGTTTGGCCATTTATTTAAGATGAGTTACTGAGTTTGGCCATCATGGAAGAATAACTCTCTAGTTTCTTTCTTTGAACTTATGCTGGTGTTGGAATAATTTTCCTTTGTCATCTCAAATGTGCTAGGTTTAAATTGTAAATCAAGTTTAATCTCATGAAATTCTCATATAATGTTATTTGGTAAACTTCCTTCAATCAGTCCCTTTGACTAAAACTTTGGAAACTACGTCAGCTAAGTTTTCTATCCTCTAAATTTAGAATTACTTCCACTAGGTGAATTGATGTAAGTTTTCTCTGTTTTATGGTCCTGCTTATGGGTTACATGAATCTTTTCAATTTCCTTCTGCTTTGTGCGTAATTTGTTCTCTTGCAGATTTAATTTCCTTTAACATGAAAGCTTGAGAAGAAATTGGGCTTAATAGTCTTCAAATTAGCCTTCTATTTTACCTTTTTTTCTTTCTTTCTTATTTTTATAAGTTATTGTGAGTGCTTTGCTGCTGGAGTCTACTGTATAGAACCTTGCTCATGTCAAGACTGCTTCAACAAACCTATTCATGAAGATACTGTTCTTCAAACTCGCAAGCAGATTATGTCCCGTAACGCACTGGCGTTTGCTCCTAAAGTCATAAGAAGTTCTGATTGTGTACCAGAAATTGGGGTCAGAAAATACAATTATAACTTTATTTTTCAGGCTTGAAATTTTAACCACATTTTATCCTATATTAATTATTTTCTTCTTGCAGGATGACCCTAACAAAACGCCAGCTACAGCACGACACAAAAGAGGATGTAATTGCAAGAAATCAAGCTGCGTAAAGAAATATTGTGAATGCTATCAGGTTTTCTCCGTTGTTAGATCATGCATTCCTCCAATTTCAGTTATAATGTGAATTACAAATGGTGTTTTTCTTTTGAAGGGTGGTGTTGGTTGCTCCTTAAGCTGTAGATGTGAAGGGTGCAAGAACTCTTATGGAAGAAAGAATGGTAAGTCTCCCTTTAAGTTGCATATGATTGGAGTAAGACATTGAAAATCAAGAACATCAATTTTGCTTCTTTGAATCCATGACCTCTATATTTATCTTTTAAAAACTGTTTGCTTTTTATGTTCAGGTTATGTTCCCACCGGAATAGAAGCTGAGCCGGAAGAAGAAACAGAAGCATGTGAAAAGGGTGTGGTGGAAAAAGCTTCACAGAAAACTGAAATTCAGAATATTGAAGACCATCCTGATCCTGATTGTGCTCTTCTCACAACACCATTACAGCTTTCCAGGTTTGATATGCTGACTTAATTGTCAGGTAGGATGATAAAGTTGATGTCCATTATCGATTTTGATTCATTTTTTATGTGACAGACCATTGCTTCTGTTACCCTTCTCTGCTTCTGGATTGATTGCCAGCCAAAAGCTTGGGAAATCAAAAGCTAGTAGGTCTCAACTCAAATTTGAAAAGCCTTTTCAAACTGTTCCGGATGAGGATGAACCTCCCATCACTTGCATCAAAGTTTCTTCTCCGAATGGCAAGAGGATCTCCTCTCCTAATTGTGACTTTGGATCATCTCCTACTCGCAGAAGGAAGTTGATATAACAGTCCATCCCTTCATTTCCTTCCTTCTCTCACCCCTCTCCATTAGAATGAGCATCTTTATCGTAGTAAGTTAGCCTCCCCTTACCCATTCCCCTTTAATCGTATTTTTAGTTTGTTTCAACAGAACTTATCCTAGATATATTTACCTGATTGAGTTTCGTCCTACTTTTCGTAATAATATGTTGCGTTGATACCATATTATACAACTTAAGTTGTATAGCTTAAGTAACGGTTATCATCATTCTCGGGATTAATCTTTATACTTTTTCTGTAAATTACTTGGAGAATTGGTTATGAATAAGTTCCCATGTTGGAGTTTTCTTTTTCTGAAGCTGTTTTTGATTTGTCCCACGAAGTGAATATGGTTGGTGTTGTGGAATTGAATGTTTCTGTGAGGGGGCATGGAATCTAATAAACACAATATTTCAATCAAAACTTCTTTAGTTTGGTAAGCCTTCCTTATTGCTAGCTATTGCTCCTTTGTGGAAATAAAATCCTGTTAGCAAGGATATCGGACTAGTAGGCTGTTTGTAATAGTTCTCGGTAGGTTGCTCATAACAGTCATCAATAGCTAACAACTAACAACTTGATTCTAATCTGATCCTTAGTTTACACTTCCAAAATTTGTAAAAGATGGCACGTTAGCATCTCATTTAATCAATATCCATGATAGATTAGAATCCCAAAGCTTATACGAATATTTCTTGATTTTAATTGCTCGATTATATATTTTGTTTCTTTGAGTAATCGCTGATCTTCTTATTAGGGATAAAGATTAGCTTTATCGGATACAAATAAATTCAAATAGCATTCCGATACAATATAATCAAATTAAATGCAAATGAGAAGGAAAACAACAAAACTGAAGTAACTTGTATTGATCTAGTAGCATTGATCACAATGGAGGATTACAATATCAAATAACAGAAATTACAACTTAGGAAAAGACAGTGGAAAAGAAAATTAATAATGGACAAAGAAATAGTAAAAGCGACTACAGCCCAAGATCAGTCCAGACCAATTTTTCTAATACCTTCTCTTTCCACACACAGGCCCTGTTTACTCCCCCACTCACATGACCTTATAACCAACCCCACCTGGCTAACAAACTATGCTAAGTCAGCAACATGAACTAATCCACTTTTTCTTTTTCTTTTTTTCTGGTAAAGAAAAAGGTCTAAGTCACAAAACAAAGAAAGAACACAAAATGAAATCTAACTATTGCGACTCAAAGCATAGGGTCTCCCAACAACTAAAAGATCAATAAACAACAGTAATTGGAGGTCAGAAGGACTGCCAAACAAGATTCTCTTCCTACCCCTCGTAGTCTAATATGAAATTCGTCAACTAGTCTGCACACGAGTTATCCTCTCTCAAAGTATGCCTGGAAGTCAAAGACAAATTTTTATCGATCCATGTCAGTATGCGAGAAATCAAATGATTCTTACAGACTACTGCATCATTTCTAGTGATCGCACTTAAATCATTTTTCCTTACGTACAATTTCCTAAACCTTTTACTTGCTTTTATCGTATCACGTTCTTATCTAGTTATCTAAATTCAAATAGCATTCTTATCTATTCATTACTCCATTCTTCAATAGTCTTAATTTTCTTCGGAATCAAATATTTTCATTTTCCAAATCTATCAACAACTTAAGACACTGTCTATAGTCAGAATAATCCAATGTAAGAGTATGGTAATAAGACATGGCCCATGTAATAGTATATTCAGCGCCATAGTTGAATGAGTCCTCAGATTTTTTTTTTTCTCATTCTTTCATGACAACAAAGTATGGTAGATAAGCTTTATCTTTAGGAGCAGTATTTTCTGATTTGGTATAGGTTAAAACTGTTCTTTCAACTCCATCGACATATCTACATTTCTCCTCTATTTATAAATCTTAATTTTATAATTTCTCAAGACGAACACACAACCAAATACTACACATACTCATGTAGACACAACATAAAGACTCATCTCTCCTTCTACTTGAAGGATAACAAAAATTGAATATATATATATGGGATAAGATCCGTTTATAAATTTTTTTTTGCAAATTATACGAAGTACGACCAGTCGTACACTGCATGATTAAAGTATGACCGGTCGTACTTAGGTGTAGTTTGTAAATATAATCTATATATATATATATATATATATATATATATATATATATATATATATATATATATATATATATATATATATATATATATATATATATATATATATATATATATATATATATATATATTCAAGTAAAAAGCCCCTACTACTAAGGCACCATTTGGCTCACCCGAAAGGAAAAGGGAATACAATATAAAAGAAAATAAAGAAAAGGAATAAAGAAGTAGATAAATAGAGAACAAGCAATGTTTTCTTCTTCTATTTAATTTTATCGAAAAAAAGAATGAAAATTGTATTGGATGCAATCCATGGGTTTCACATGATCTAATAATAACAAGCTAGTAACAAACTTATTCAGTTCTTCGTCTGCCCTCATTCTCTTCCCTTTTTCATTTCTAAATATATACCCAACAAAGCCTAGAAGATGATCCACTTTAAGTTGCTTTCTTTTGGGATAATTAGTACAAAATATTTTTTCCTTGTTAAATCGTTAGTTAATTTTAGTAGAATTGGATACACGGAGAAATATTTATATTTGAAGAAATTATTAGTCGACTCGACAAATATAATAGCTTGCTTAAGTTATATGGAAAAATATTTGTGCTTTGCAGAATTTTTTTTTTTGTCACACTCATATAAAATTGAATGAATTCCATTATGAAAAGAAGAAAAACATTTATAAAATCAATTCACTTTTATGTGTGTGATAGGAAAAAAAAATTGGCAGCAAAAACAAAATAATTAAACCCTAGTTAAATTTAGGATAATCTTTTTCCTTCTTTTAAGTTTGATAAAACTACATTAGTTCTCCATTCACTTGCACTCTAGAATTCAAATTAAAATCAATTAACTTCATCAATTTAAATAACGGAAATAACAGTCTAACTCAGTTTGCCATATTTCTAACATCCTTGAAAATAGCAAAGAAAAAGTAAACTATTATTAAGCGTTGTATATGTTGCTGCACGTGGGGTGGTCGTGATAAAAGAAATGGAAATATTGAGTCCCTTTTTCTTGTTAATTCCTCCCTTTACAGTATATGCCAATTTATAATGCATGACCGAAAATGTTAGCATCATTCTCCCAGTCACACCCCTCCACTTTGCTTTTCCCTGAACTTTTAGCACCATACACTGCTGAATTGACGAAATAAATTTTTCAGTTTATGGCAACTTTTCATAATCTTTGAGGGAGAGATGGGGTGACATGCCAAACAATATGATTCATTATCTTTTATGAAATAGGGATGGGAGAGTGGAAAATGTAATTCTTAAAAATAAATAAAAGTTTAATTATTGTTTTTTTTGTTGAAAAAAACCTTTTTTTATCCTTTTATTTTTTATTAACTTTTTACTGAGAGGACAAAATGTGCATGCAACGAATGATTTGCCACGCCAAACAATATGATTCAACCTTCTTCTTTTTTTCTTTTTTAAATAAGTAAAAATAGACCCATCAAAATAATTGTTCACATCACCCTAGCTTGACTTTTCTGTAAGGCCTTTCTCGGTTTCAAAGACAAGCTGCCCCTGTAGTTGGTGGGGGTTGTGTTGTGCTACCATTAGAATTTAGAAGTGTGCCTGTGAATTAAAAGAGGTAGATAAAGTTTTCCACAAGAGAACAAATATTACGTTTGTGTACACATATACGTGTCTCATTCGTCTTTTTCACAACCAATAATGCTAGGGGGTGGGGGGTCCAGAAGTGGAGAAAGATCACATCATGTCGGTGATGTGCAACCTCTCTGCGAGTGCTGTCTTGAAAGAATGGTAGCTTTGTATGGGAGTCACAGCAAAACAAAGAATTTAGGTAAGTTTACCGTGCTGGCATCGAATTTGCTTTTGCTCTTCTTCCTCCAAAACTATGTATATAGAAAAAAGAGAGAGTAATGAACACATGAATATTAAAAATTGTTGTAAGATTTAGAAAAATATATATGTGAATATATATGAATTTCTGTTAGATAAAATAAAAATGACAAAAAAAGGCAATACGGAAGAGAAACGAGAGGGGGGGAGGGGGATTTTTTAATTATTTATTTAGATATTTAAGTATGAAAAGAAATTTCCTTCTGCTTGTTTAACATTTAAAAGTAAAAGTTATGAATAAGTTATAAAATTTTAACTTAGTTCTTATATTCCCTATAGCACAAGTATATATAATATATATATATATATATATATATATAAAACTATTAATGTAGCCTCACACTCAACAACTTAAGCTTTTGGGTTGAATTGGTTCTTTACATGGTATCGGAGCCTCGTGTCTCGGGTTTGATCCTCACCGCTCCTCACTTTCTTTTTAGTGAAATTTCTTTGTTCGCACAGGTAGATTGGCCTGTGCATTGTCCACCCTTCAAGCCCAGTGGGCTCTCGTGTGAGGGGGCGTGTTGAGATATATAAAACCATTAATGTAGCCTCACACCCAGCAGCTTAAGCTTTTGGGTTGAATTGGTTCTTTACATGGTATCAGAGCCTCGTATCCCGGATTCGATCCTCACCGCCCCCACTTTCTTTCTAGTGCAATTTCTTTGTTCGCACAGGTGGGCCTGTGTATTGTCCACCCTTCAAGCCCAGTGGGCTCTCGTGTAAGGGGCATGTTGAGATATATAAAATCATTAATGTAAGCTTTTGGGCTGAATTGGTTCTTTACAATATATATATATATATATATATATATATATATATATATATATAGGGACAAGATATTCTTACACCGGTGTAAGAGTTAGAAGTCTTACACTTAATCTTGAGCATTGATCCACTTGTATCCAATGCCTCACATTACTAAAAAATTAAAGCCCTTAGATATAAGTGGGATTAACGATCAAGATTGAGAGTGTAACTTACACTGGAGTAAAATGATCCTAACCCATATATATATATATATATATATATATATATATATATACAAAAAGTAAAATAGCGATATCAATATATAATTGGTATGAGAGTGGTTCCTCTTATGTGAAAAGGTGGTCATGTGCTCATGTTATTTGATCACAATCACTCATTTGAAAATTATACATTTTTCTCTCTCTTATCTCATCATCAATGAGTGGTTGCGATCAAATAACATGAACACATGACTATTTTTTCATATGAGAAGATCCACTCCCAATTGATATATGTAGTATGTATTTCTATAAAACATTGGGCCTTTTGTATTTTACTTGCAT